GGAAAGTACGGTCTCACGTCGTCCGGTTTGACCAGCCGAAATCGCACGTCTTCGTCGTCGTCGTCGTCTTCGAATTCGTCTCCGGCTCTCGCGCGGTGCTCCTCGAAAGGACGTGCCAAAACACTCGGAAACGGTCGCGGTTGCGGTTCGTCTACTACTACTACTACTTCTTCTTCTTCTTCTTCTTCTTCTTCTCCTCCTCCTCCTACTCCTCCTACTCCTCGGAAACGACCTTCTCGATCTAGAACCAATTGGCGTACCACATCCGCCGCTTCGTTCGAAAGAGGAACCAGTCCACGTACGATGTCGGATCGAGGGTGACACATCTGAATTACCCTGGCACATTCGACGAATCGGCGAAAGCAATCGGAACTTTTGTTCCATCCTATTTTGCGATCGTCGTCGACGTAGACAACATTTTCGAAATACGTTTTACCGAAGCTGCGAAACGAAGGCTGCGGTCGTCTGTTGTTCTCGTCTGCGTCCCGGGGCTCGGAGGAAGCGAGCACCAAAGTATAGGACGAAAGACGCGTGATGAACCCTTCGTTCTGCACGCTCGTTCGGTCGGGTTCGACACCTTCGAATGCGTAAGCGTGCAGATACGGTATGCTGTGCCTGACGTGTTGCAATACCCGCACTGACTCGTCGTACGCGTCGAACGCTTCCCTCAGAGTGGCCATTTCTAGACGTTGTTCCTCCGCTGCCGTCAGACATGAGACGGACGACCGGAAGCGCATGGTCCGAACGTCGAAATCGAACCAGACCAACCTCATCACGTGAGACGTTGCGTTGGCCAGCGCAAAAGACAGGTCGACGTCTCTGTCTATTTCCGGAAACGCGAACGAGAATGCGATCGCTGGGTAGGCTCTGGCAAATTGCACCAGGGCATCGTTCGGGTCGCATCCAGGAACGAGTCTCAAATACCTGACTTCGTGTTGCATCGCTGACCCGTTTCTGCAAACGCTCGAGAAAAGCGTCTACACCTTCGACCGTCTTCTGAAACTGCCTGCGACGAGGATAGAGACGTGTTAGCGCGGAGAGGAGACCGATCCCGTTATACACATCTAGATGTGTATAAGAGACAGGCGCATACCTATATATCGTATACCTGTAAATCTACTGTTAAATCTAAAGTTTCCAGAATAAAACAAAAGAAA